ACCATAAATCATATATAACAACATGAGTTATAAGGATACTCTCTCCTCAGCTGCAACGAGTGGACCTTTGGACATGGACCCATATCCGTTTTCTGAACAAGAGAAAGAAAACAAGATGTTTGGAATCCAAAATTCTAAAGTCACAATTACTTACAGAGAAAATTATCTGCGAGTATCTGCAACTCAAAAATGACTTCAAGATGAAGTTGAACAAATATATATGAGATCACGACATAAAACAATTCTACCCATAAGTATTACCCAAGCATACAGTATCTACTTAACAATTGCAGACCCACTAAAATACTTTCCTCAACACATAAAACGATACATGTTATCATAGCACTTGACAATAAAACAAAATTGGAAAAAAGTAATTAATTAAAATTATAAAGAAACTAGTAGCACAACCAACAATACCTAATTTATTTGTCCTCCATCTTACATACCCATGATAAATAGAAAATTTAAATCTGTCGCACCTTTTTCTTTCCAACACCTCACAGGTAACCAAAATAAACAAATGAAAATTATCAGCAACAGCATATCTACCATTTGAATTTAGTTCCCTTCCAAGTTAACAACCAATGATAAATAGAAAACTTTGACCGAAGGAAGCTGTTAAACTGCCCTCTCTGATCTCCACAGAGGGCTGAAATTCCCCCAATGATCTTCTTGAGGAGAGATGAAGAACCCACCACAGCACCACCCCCCAATCTGTAACCCCTATTCCAATTCTTACACCTCCTAGGCTACCAAACTAACCAAAAATTGCCAATAACAAGTTAAAAACATACTTATGACTTCCAAGCATGCATACCCCTTCCCTCTGTTGTCTCCAACTATGTACAAAACAATTACAACCTCAAATACTCAAGTCTACACCCTCCATTGGTTCAGACAGACTACAACCTCCCATCCACCAAACCAATCAATAAAGTCTGCAACTCTGCATGCTATCCCCAATTTAATTCCATGTACACTTTCTAAACTCCTCCCTAATTGGCAGAATTTTTCATATACATACCCTTCTTTTCTCTTGTTTCTTCTTAATATTTCATTATTATAAACCACTTTCAAAATGCTTGTAGTATTAGTCTTACTAAATACATGTAATTCACCCTTAGCTCTGATTCCTTGCCACATTCGTCTCTCCCTCAAAGAATCACATTTTTAATAAATAAAAACAAATGACCTCACTTGCATCCATCAGTTATTTATTGGATTAAATAACAGAGGCAAAGATTTAAAAGGAAAATAAATATAAAATAAACCTAGCCATTTGGTTTCCAAAATTAGGAGTTACAACAACTTAACTCTGGCTACATTCTAAAAACCAGATGGTGTATATCTGTCACTTTCCCTTCTAGGCTTCTACCTTGCCCCCACCCCATCCCAAAAAACTTCTACTGCTTCTAAAACCCCAAATTTTCTCAGAAACCAAACACATACAATCACTTCGAAAACATAAAGTAGGGTTCAAAGGGAAAGAAAATGGATATCAACCATTAACAATTAATTATCGAAACTTAAAGAATAGAGAAACGGATTAACGAATCAATGACGAGAATACCGTTAATTGGAAGAGCTCGTGAGAGCAAAGGCCGGACAAGTAAAGGCGGCAGACATCGCGATCGTAGTACTTCTGATTCACCTCCCTTACATCGCCATTGCGGTCCGTGCCCATCAGCACATCGAGCTGCTTCCGCATGGCATCCATCATTTTTCTCTTCCCCTCTTTCTCTGTCAAAGGAAATAACCTCTCTGCCTCTGTTTAGGGTTAGGTTTTTGCTTAGAGATCTCTAAGTAATGAACCCATTCAATCCTCCTCATTCATGCAATATAAATGTTATTTTATTTACATACTCGTTCTTTAGAGTTTTACTTCGCTGTTTCCTGTGCTGTAGAGTTCTACTTTGTTTACTTTGTTATTTTTTGTGCCATAGAGTTTTACTTGCTTATGAGCCATTTATTGGTAGGTTCTATAAGCCAACTTCCTATATTATTAATGGATTGTCATTCATAAAAAGAGAGAGAGAACAATTTTAAGAGCAAAACCTCCATTGTGTCTTTAAATTTGAACAATTTTAAGTCTCAAAGAATATATCAATTAGTTAAAAACTTAGATCTAAATTAATGATTTTTAGGTATGTAACCAGTGCAAAATCTAGTTGTGCGGAAATTGGGTGGAAGGCTGAAGATCGTTTGGTGTGGCAGCATGATATTTTCGATTGTTGCAGTGAACCCTGTTTGAGCCTGAAGACTTGCTTGTACCCTTGCGGAGTATTTTCAAGAATAGCTAATGTGGTTTCCAAAGGAAAAATATGTAAGATTGTTAGATAATTATTCAATGCATAATATCTCTTATTTGTTCTGGGAATCATGCATACTGTTTAATTTGATTGATTGTTACAGCTCCTGAACAAGCAATCAGTGATTTAATGACATATTTCCTTTTATGTGGGTTGTTGCTACACTAGCTATGTGAGGAAGAAATTGAGGGAGCTTTTCAACATAGAGGTAATTAATTAACCAAGATTTTTCTCTTCGTTCTATTCTTTTATAGTGTCTAGTAACCTTCTTCGGTGCTAGGCGTTTAAACTAAGCAATTCATCGAAACTAAAAATAGGCTGATTAAATTTTGTAGGGGGGATTTTGTGATGATTTCTTAACTCATCTCATGTGCTGCTGTTGTGCAGTGGTTCAAGAATGGAGAGAACTGGAATTCAGGGGTGTTGAGGGTAAGTTAGAATAGACTTCATTGATTACAATCACTGGTTTTCATTTCATTTTTAATGGGAACAGTTCCAACTTTCAATAAATTGCAGGATGTCAAGGAAGGAAAATGATTCCTCCCCCTTATCAATATATGAAGCCCTGATACATGTGCCCCTGAAATATTTCATGTTGGGCTGAGATAACAATATCTAGGTCGTGTTTATATCCAACAGTACT